AGCTTCTTTATACTTGCTGTAGCTCACAGTTACTCTACACTGCAGATATGACGCCTCTGTTCATCTCAGTGCTGCTGGCTGCTATGTGCCTCGGTATGAACACAACTCTGTTTCTTTGATATCAACATTGACGTGATTCTTTAACAGCACACTGATACTGTTTGTTGGTGTTTTACAGAATGCAGAGCACAAAAAGACAACGTGCTGCAATCAAAAGGAGAAGAGACTGCTGCTGCAGGAGGCACAGTAACACTTGGCTGTCTCTATAACAGCAGTACAACAACTAATTATCTCTTCTGGTACAAACAGGATGGAAACAACAGCCCCAAATTCATCCTGATGCGCTATAGTGGGGATGATGGAAACACAGCAGAGGAGTTCAAGGAGAGATTTTCATCCACACTGGATTCCAGCAGCAGATCAGTTCCTCTGAAGATCCAGAAGCTTCAGCTGTCTGACTCTGCTGTGTACTACTGTGCTCTGCAGCCCACAGTGACAGGAAACAGCAAAACTCTGTACAAAAACCTTTGGAGCAAAGACAACAGAATACTCCACAACATCCACTAGAGGGAGCCACACACTGTTAAACTTCTCTCCAGTCAGAATTACAGTCTTTACTTGTTTGATCACATTGATGGAAAGCGTTAAGGCCTATTATTTTCTCTCTTCTTTCTACATTTCTCATTTCAGTGTCTGATCGATGCACTCCTCCACTTTTCATCAGGACCAAATTCTGTGGGTCCTTCCAATATTTGCCAGTGAAATATAGTACAGTGGTCCCTCGGAACATGGGGAACAGAGCCTTCAGTTGCTCTCTTCCTCAAGCCATAAGAAATAAAAACTCTCTTCCTGTGTTTAAGTCACAGCTCAAAACACATCTGTTCAAACTGGTTTATTCACTTTAGTGCTGATTTTCTGTTGTCAAGTTCTGTTTTGCAATTTTAACTTATTTTATGTATTTTATGACTATTGCTCCTTTTATTAATTTTGTTCTTTTGTAAGGTGACCTTGGGTTTTTGAAAGGCGCCCACAAATAAAATGTATTATTATTATTATTATTATTATTATTACTTCTCTACCGTGGTGATGGGATTTCCGGCTCTTTTTAGAGAGCCGGCTCTTTCAGCTCCCAACCGGCTCTTCAGGTTGTTTTGTTGCTTTAAATAATTTATTATTAACAACAATATAAAATTATGCACTAAAGGAATTAGTAATGTAAAAAAAGTGGTTTTATTTAGAGACAGAGCAGGTACAAACTCCAAAACACATTTCTAGCGTTAACTGAACTTCCAAAACAGAGCTACCTAGATCACATAAATTACACAATTGAAAGCATGTGTATAGTTATATTCAAATAATTAAAGAAAAAATGTTCATTTACCTGTTACTACCACACACCAAATCTGGTCATTGGTACTTTCTGGCTTGTGTAGCCACTACGTAACAAAAGCTCAACACTGCGCCTAGCATCCTGGAGCACGTCTGTTGTGTTTTGTAAGTGTTTTGGAGCTTGTATGTGCTTTATCTCTAAAAAAAAAAAAAAAAAAAAAAACATGGCTCGCGTCATTCACGTCAAAGATCCGGCTCTAAGAGCTGTTTCGTTCGCAACGACACATCACTACTTTACGAGACTGAAACTGTGAGAAGAACATTGGACTAGTTTCCCTTTGACTGTACAAATGTAGTTGTACTTTTTTAGTTGTTATTTATCTCATGAGTATCTTACACAATGCCAGTCTTACATTCCTGTTGCATCTCATAGTATTAGACCCTTACCTGGCACTTCTATTTTAACTCTGTTATTTGTTGTTTATTGTATACCGCACATTTTTTACTCATTCTCATCCTGCTGCTGTAACACAGTTTTACCTGTGAGATCAAAAAAAGTCAAACTTAAAATCACACATGCAAACGTGTGAGTGTGAATATTCTGTCTCTGTTAGACCTGTGATAGACGGCCAACCTGCTCCCTTACTCAGTGATCACCACAGTGGTTAGGTTGGCCGTCATGTTTGAGTTTTGGGTGGATAAAAAACAAAGAAAGAAAACAAACAGCTGTTGTGCATTTTTGGTTTATAACATAATTGTAAAATTCTAACTTTAATTCAACAACACAGTAGATTTCCATGTGTATCAAAAAACTGAAAAGACAAAACAACAACAAATAAAAACATTAAAAATTGATCACATCGCAGTCTGACAGCTGAAGACATCAGGCTGATCTGACTGTTCAGGACAATAATGCAGAGGCTTCCTGCGCCGTAACAGTGGGTGTACAACAAGTTTCTGTAAAAAACGGTCGTGGTGGTGAGCAAAATGACCGTTACAGCAGGTATACTACTGTGTTAAGGTGGTTTAACTCTGAACCTTTAGAAACTCTCTACTTAGACACTGTTTTCTCTAAAAAGACCTCTAACCTGAGGGGTAGATTATGAAGATGATATTAAGGGAACAACTGCACATTAGAGACCTGAAACTTACAGCAGCAAAAACTAAGAAAAGATTTGCTTTAGCTTGTGGCAAATCTAAATTAATTGTATTACTTTCTTGTGTTGTGTGTTCTAATTGCTACAATTTAATCAGTGTTAAAGAGATTTAGCAGCAGATTAGAATGAGGTATAACAGCACAGTCACTTTTAAAGTGAAACTCTGAACACATTACCTGCTCCTGACCAGGTTATTAGTGTAAGTTACCACAGCAAATTAGATAAAAACAGCTACTTTTGTGACACAAACCTCTGACTTTTAGCTCAACACAGCTGAGCAATTAACCTTGTGTCAAAATACACCTCTCAGTGTGAGTTCTCATACGGCGCCACAACTGTGTTCTGGTTTTGAATCTTTTATTACATCTTTGACAACAAAGCCACTGGCCAAGTGGAATACCTGGGAGTGTCCTCAAAACCTGCGCTTGCTGGCTCCTGTGTTCACCAGACTATTCAACATTTACCTGTCACATGCCACTGTCTCACATTGCCTCAAATCAGCAACAATAATCCCACAGTCCCCAAGTCCACCACCATCAGTGGCCTCAACGACTACAGAACCATCGCTCTGACTCCAGTAGTTGCTAAGTGCTTTGAGAAGCTCGTTTTAATGCACATAAAAGACTACCTCTCACCCAGCTTCGACCCCCACCAGGTTTGCCTATAAGGCAAACAGGTCCAACTTAAGATGCAACTTCCACTGCCCTCCTGGGACTTCAGTAAGGATGCTCTTCATTGATTTCAGCTCGGCCATTAATACCATCATCCCAGACATCATTATTGACAAGCTTGTAAACTTGGACTCCACCCCACATGTGTATGGATCAAAAACTTTCTTACAGACTGATGAAAATATGTCAAGGTTGGCAACCAGAGATCATCCACCCTGTCACTCAGCACTGGCTCACCACAGGGATGTGTGCTGAGTCCACTCCTATACACCATCTACACCAGTGACTGCAAACCCACTAGTGCTGAGCGATATGACGATAAATATTGTGTGGACTATCGTGCCATTTGTCTTCTATCATTTCTAACCTAATTTTAGAATTTATTACATAAAATATAACCTTTAAAACCAGTCGGAGTGGGAACGCTCCGTTTTGCGTAACTATTTTTAAATCCCTGTAGAACTGGAATCACTTAAGCTAGCGCAATAATTTTTTTTGCATATGAAACCGGAGGAGTTGTACTTACATCTTATGCCATCAGCTTGCCCTAGGCCACGGCTTCCTTCCACATTTAGCTTTGCAAAAACTGCATAAAAAGCACTTGCAGTAACAAAAACATAATATTCCAGAAACACCGATCTAATCAGCTGTTCATAACACTTCCCTGGTTGGAACAGACGTCAGCGCGAACTATTGCATGTCCGCCATTACCTGCCCGAAACTGGAAGAGACGTCATTTTCGAGGAAAATGTAGTTTTTTACCTTCAGGGCCTTATAAGCCTATGCTGGTGTTTTTGAAAGTCATGTTTGACTTTATGCTTTTCTGAATCATTTTCAGGATGCTTAGAACTCAAATTACACTGCTGGAAATAGTTTATTTTGATGCACATGCTGTCTTTTTGCAAATTTGCATTGTAATATTTATTTTCATTTTTCCTGCAGTATATAAAAATTAGTGTATCTCAAAAATAAAACTATGAAGACACTCAAAATAAATTTCCTGTGGTGGGAAACTATTTTGTGCAACTTTTTTGTATTTACAGTTTTGAGGGATAAGCCTCTTAAATTTCTCTAACTAGAAATATATGTTGAAAAAACAAAAATGATTTTCATTTTCAATTTATGTAGTTACTATGGACTTAATGCAGACATATTATTAAAATTTGGGCTATAACGGTTGTATTGATGTATAGCAACTTGAAATGCTCCCACAAATGGCACTACAGCATGTAAAAATATAAAAATAAGCTCTGGCGGACTTGGTTCTATGGCAAGTCTCAAAGGGTTAAATAGCCTGTGGCAAATATATTAGAGTTCTTTTCTCACTATACATACTCTTAACTTTATGCATGAGAAAATAAAGTATTAAAAAAAAAGATATTTTTTGCACAGAAACTCCGTCTTGTGGTTTTGCGACATGGTGCTGCTTTACGTGCACCCGGATTTGCGACATGCTTTACGGTAACTCAAAACGATGGACGTGCGACATGTTGCAGTTTAATGCCCGGACATGCAACAGGCAGAGACAGCTACACAGCAGCAGGAAGACCACCATCGGTGACCACACCCCCATGCACCCTGCAACATCATCATCAAATTTGCAAACAACAGCACTCTGATGGGGCTCATCACTGACAATGACGACACCACCTGCAGAGATGAGGTCCAATGTCTGACAGAATGGTGTGACAACAATAACGTAAACCTCAACACCAGGAAAACCAAGGAATTGGTCACAGACAGACTTCTGCAAGACAAAAAAACCCCGGCTCCCCCCCCCCCCATAAAAGGTGATTACCTGTCCACCCATGGACTCCATTGCCAGCTCTAGATGTCTCTCCAGAGCCAGGGCAATCATAAAAGACCGCCTCCATCCTAACCACCATCTATTCAACATCCTGCCCTCTGGAAAAAGGTTCATATCCATCAGGTGCAAAACCAATAGACTAAAGAACAGCTTCTTCCTGTAGGCTGTCAGGAAAATAAATGCAAACTGAGAGTTTCCTACAATCATTCTGGTGCTGCTATTTGCTATTTATTATTGTCATTATTGCTTTTTTGTGTGCGCGTGAGTTTCTTTTTGTTTCCGTACAATATTCTGCTCCTGCTGTGCAAGATTTCGGCAATTTATGCAATCTCCATCCCTTAATGACCATAGCACTTACACCCTTATTTATTATTTACAATTATTTATTATGACGTCTACATCATGTTTATAGTGTACATAGTGTTCTTATATTGTCTCTTCTTCTTCTTCTTTCTTGTATATCATTTTCTTTATTTTCACACCTTTGTGGTATTGCTTCCAAATTTCAGTGTGCAAGCAACTATACATAGAACTTAGAACTCTTTTATTGTCAAAGTTCCTCACCTGTGTGAGTTCTTATATGCTCTGTTAAATGACAGTTACGTCTGAACGTCTTCCCACATGTTTTACAATTATATGGTTTCACACCTGTGTGCCTTCTCATATGCATCAATAAAGAACTACTATATCCAAACACTTTCCCACATGTTGCACAATGATATGGTTTCTCCCCAGTGTGTGTTCTTGTGTGTTTCAGTAAATCACTATTATATAGAAACATTTTTCCACATGTTTTACAACGATGTGGTTTGTCCCCAGTGTGTGTTCTTATGTGTTTCAGTAAATCACTATTATACATAAACATTTTTCCACAAGTTGTGCAACAAAATGGCTTAACACCTGAGTGAGTTTTTGTGTGCTTCGACAAAGAACTAGCAGATATAAACGTTTTCCCACACATTTTACAAGAGAATGGCCTCTCACCTGTGTGGACTCGATAATGCCTTCTCATTAAATAGTTATACTTA